AAGGAATTTAGGTATCTTCATTTTCTTCATTTATTTTTTTCCCCCAAATATTTAGTTTATCTCTGACATCTAACAAACATAATGAACAGTGGTGCTGTTATGTGACTGTCCATTTTTTTTTTTCAAAACTGAAAATAATAAAAAGTCTTTTTTCTATCCATGGTATGAAGACCTGTATCCAACTTACATACATCAGTAACTATGATAATAGAAAAAAACCCAAATTTCATTACTCCAGACAGCTGAAAGTTTAGCACAACAAAGCAAATAACTACTTAGCAAAATGCTGAAGTTCTGCAAGTATAAACAAACAGAATAAGGAAATAAAACTCCATACCAAATCATCAAGATTTCATTAAGAATCTTGATTTAAATATAAACCTTTAATTTAAATGTATTTCTCTTCTCATTTGGAAAATCTGGTGTTGAGTTTTGACTATTTTGTTCTATTTTGTATGAAGTGGGATGCAAAATTAGAAAGAAACAAAAAGAATGAGGCTTCTCACATCACAAAACTTCACAATGTCTTTCTTTAAGAAAGCACTAACTATTGCAGAGACTAGAGTGAAACTTGGAAACCCTGGAAGCTGACATGCCAAATGCATAACTCCTTTTTAGTAAAAGCTTTGTAGAGTCAGAGTCTATGACAAGTCCATAAAGTAGAGATTTTTCTAGGGGAGACAGCCAGTATACTCCAGTTGTACTCTGTAAGATTGTAACTCTAAAGCCTAAATATACATCTATTTTAGAAAAAGCTGCACTGGCAGAGGAAGGAGAAAGGGATTACCAATAAGGTAGATAAAGTCACATAATTTCATTGTAAAATTTTGCTGTAGACAGTACAAGTAGTGTTTTGATCTCATTATAATGGACAAAGGTGACCTTTAGGCCTGTTGATGTCCTGTACGCTATTTTGATTACCACAACAATGATATCATATTGGTGATATTAGTTTTTTACTAAATAAATAATGCAAAATCAAATCCTTTTTGTGGTCAGACTAGGACCTGAAACTTGACTTGCTTAGGTACTTGAACTCTAAATGGCCTGCAACTAGATTTATACTGAATTTCTTGACTCTTATACAGCTCAGTATCAGACCTATTGTTTTCTGCAAGGTATGAATTTTTAATTGAGATATAGTACATAATCAGACAGTTTCAGGACTGAGTGGTGTGATGGTGTGGGAGCCCAAAGCACTTTTTGGTGTGGGACACAAGGCCAGAAGAGAAAAAGGAAGTTACTTTGCTGCCATTTTCCCATTAGCCCAATGATTAGAAAATATCTGGAGAGTGGGAGAGATCAAAATACAAACACCTTTGCTGATTCAAACCTATGACTCTTGTTAATCAAGAGTGTCTCAATTTCTATAATATTGAATATTATGGTGTCCATTACTCTCAGTACTTGCTGTTTTACTGGTTCTATTTTCTATTTTGTATAAATGTAATTAAATTGCAGTTAAATACGTTCTAGAATACAGATACTACAACCTCCTAGTGAGTTTTCTCACTAAAAGGCTACCAAATGATAATTTTCATTATCTCTAATTATTGATTTGGCATGGGCTGGAAACACTTCAAGAAAAGGTATTGTTGGAAATCTTTTCCCCCAGATGCTCTATAGTATGAGCAGTCTCAGTTAATGCTTCATATCTGAGAAGATTATACAGAAACCTCATATAAAAAAGGTAGTAAGGGAACACAAAGTTGTGTTCTTATAGCTCCCAGGTAAATGTCTTTCACTGTGAGGAACCTTTTTTCTTCAGTAAATATTTAAAATATTTCATGAAAATGGAAGAGCTCCAGCAGGGAGACTGTGGAAATCCCAAATGAGATTACGGAGTACTTGTCCAGTGCTGCATCCTACTAGAGCAAATGTGGTAGTTCCTATTTCCTTGGGCACTGGCTGAGCTCTTCTTTTTTTCTGTTCAACCAAGGTTGCTATCATGTTAAGAAATAAAAAGAAGCACCACCCTTGCTTTTTTGAGGAATTTTTTAAGTCAACTGAAGAAATATTTTTAGTTAGTAGTTGTTTCTGTTGAAGAAATAAATGTGGATTCATATCTGACTGGATTCTTTTGTGTTTGAATCAGCTGCTATTATTTTCCAATTTAAGTGGAATGTCAGACTTCTTTAGAATATGATATTCAACTACAAGTAACATCAGAGGATATGGCCCACAAAATAACCAAATGTCCTGATTAATCAAAGTTTAGGAAACTAAAATGAACGGTGATCACAGATTAGGAACATTAGTTTTAGCATATTGAATAGTAACCTTTAATGTAGAACATTTCTAGGGCACTATTTTATTTAAGATTTTAATAATAAATGCACCTAATTTGAAGTAAAAAAGCTCAATTGTTTTTATTTATTTTGTTGTTAGAGTTGCAAAAGTAATCCTTTGCATTATTCTGATGGTTCTAACAGTCACACCGCAGACGCATTTGGCCCTTTGCCTTTTGGATTATAAGCATGTGGTAGAATGTTGTTGTTTGAAAGCTAAAGTAAATCAGGCTGTTATGAATTGCTAAATGCAAGATCAAACCCATAATCCTCTTTGGACAACTGCTAGGAAAAGAAAAAAAAAAAAAGCAAAACTGTGAACCATGTTTTTCAAGTAGAACAGAATTTCTTGATTTTTTAAATCACATTCTTGCATGCTAGCTGGTGAGTTTAAGAAGCTGTTACCATCAGGAATTAAGATAATGACACTTATCAGTAGATGGGAAATGTTAGCATCAGGAACTGAAAGAAAATACTTTGATATTTCTGTACAGATTCTTACCTCCATTTGACATAAAAATCTTGGCTGAGACAACATAGAACTAACAAATACATCTTGTAAGATAATAGACTGAGAAATTTACCACAAAGTCTTGATAGAAGATTTGTTTTTTTCTGTGGTTGTGTTAAAGAACAGATCCAGTCCTTTTTTCAACACTTTGGCTCTATCACAGATACAGCAAAAAATAAAGCATCTTCAGTGTAGACACAACGGCTTCCAGTAACAGGGTGCTGATACTTAAGGCAAGCGTGTCCTTACAGCATTTCCCTAAACATTCATTTTGAGTGCATGTACACTGCACAAATACAAGGCTAAAAGGCTTAAGAGAACTGATATGAGTCCCTAACATGGCACCAAAACTATTAACGTTTGATCTTTTCTTCAAAAGCTTCTTCATATAATAACAACATAGATTTGGAGGCAAATAAATTCCTTTTTCTAAAAATGTTTGTAGTTGGAATTAAAATTGTGAGCTATTAGGTGCAGGGGAATAGCATGGTTCACCTTCAACAGTTGAAAAAGAAGGAGAGTAGGATGGGGTGAAGATTATTTTATAGGGACATTGCAACAGAGATATTCTACTCCTTTGATTTTCTTTTTTTAAAAGGCTGAAGCTTGATTGAAGTTAATTTAAATGTCTTTGGTGTATTTTTAGGTGTCTTAGGGATAACTCACCACTGAGAGGTGTGATTTAGCTGAATACAGTGAAAATGTGAGCTCACTTAATGATCAGGATGGAAGTTCTGCAAAGCAAACACCCTTTGGTCCTCTTTGGTTTTATGATAATGTGGACTTGTCAGTAACTCCTTCAGAGCCTCAGCTATTGCAATTTACAGAGTTTTTGTGAGCTTCTGCACAGAGTGCACCGAGCAAAAATTTACTGACCTAAGTGCACTCTGCACTTGCATGAGGAATTATCTATTCAGGATAACAGAGCACTAGGCTGAGGTTTCATATATTTTAAAGATTCTGGCAAAATTTAATAAATTGATCCTGAGCGTTCGTGCTCTATCATTGTTGCAGATTCTATAGAGAAAAATGAAAAGACAGCTGCAAAAGCAGTTATATGGAAAGAAGTTATGAAAAATACGATTACTCACTTTGTAAATTGAGGCGGTATTCATTCAGCTAACCTTACCAGGATTGGTCATCTAATCCAAAAAGATCTGGGATCATTGAGTGAAATAGGAGAAACAGATCCAAAGGGCAATTTGTCCTCCCTATGTTACTCATCTGTCAGAACAGGGAGAATCACTGTCCAGAGGTACTCATCTGCCTTCACTGATGGTGGAGCAGCCTACACTGGCAGACTGGTTTCTATGGAAAAAAAAAAAAAATACACATACATACAGGGAAAACTGTGGGGTTTTCTTGCAATCAAAGACTTTTCCTCTTGCATTTTAGCCAAACATCTCTAGCCAATCTTCCCTAATCCGTTTTATGCTCTTTCCTCTGGGCCTTTCAACAAAGACATGAAAACCAGATCAGTGTGTTCCTTTTGCAGAAATCTTTGCAGCAGTGCAGATGTTTCCATGCTATGGCCTCTGACTCCCTTTGTCTTCTTTTCTGTAGGCTAACAACTCTAAATCAGTCACACCTAAACTGGACACAGCACTCACACTGAGTCTTCACTGGAGCAGAGGGAGGACAAATGATCATTTTGTGTCGCTGCCAGGCTCCACTTCTTTTCACAATTTGTGATAAAAAATTTGCTGTTTTAAGAACAGTTTGTCACATTCAGATTATGATTCTCTATAACATTTATATCCTCTTCCTTCTGATTGTAACTACACTCTGTCCATCCAAAAAAGACCTTTGTTCATCTTTTTCACTGGAGTTTTTAATGGAAATAATTATAAGATCTCAGGTTATTATTATTGGACATATTTTGGGGGTTCTGTAAAAATTTTACAAAGGATGAAAAACCTTTCCTCTTACCCTTTTCTAGCATTATACAAGTCTTTCTTTGAAATTAATTTTACTATAATTCCTACCACTCCTGTTTTTAAGAATGGAGATCACCATCTAGAATAATCAATTCTTCTCAAGTATCTGCTGGTATTTATTTTTGTGGATTTCTCTATGATTTTGGTACCAATGTTCCTATAATTCTTAATACATGTTATCCATTTCTAATGCCATCTTGAATCTCAGCGCTCTTCTTTACAGTGTGGTTTTTTTTTTTCTTCTTTGCTTCTTTCTTAGAGTGCAAAGGAAAAAGGAGAAATCCTCTTCATGACTTCAAAAAAACAGGAGAGTTGATGCTCATTAAAGTAAATAAAACACTGGAAGTAAAAACCAAGCTGTTAAATACCACTGAGCAATGTGCCAAGAGATGCAGCAGGAACAAAGGCCTTTCATTCACTTGCAAGTAAGTTATGTATCTCTTTTTTTTTTTTTCTCCTAATGGTATCTATATACTATTCTTTGGCCAAAGGTCTGTCTGTAATTGTCATCAGTGGTATCTTGTACTGAGGACATCCTAAAGATTTTGCTTTTTTGATTTCCATGATCTTGTTCTACCTGTCCAGAGTGCAGGTCTTTTCTGAAGTATTATCCAAGTTGTTCTGTCTTCTTAGCTTGTCCAATCTGTAATCTTTTCCATAACATAGGTGAAAAAATGTACTCATGTTTAGATGTGGATGGCTTGTGCTGCACTGTAGTGTTCGGTGAACATTTCTGAGATTTTTATGTCTCTTATAAAATGGTTGTTGTCACACATCACAGCTGCAGTATTTCAGCACCACTTCAGACCATATTCTGTCTTCATTCTTTGCACATTACTCCCACTGAAATCAATGGGAACCTCACACATGGAACACAGATACATGCACTGCTGAAGTTCACTGGCAAGTACTATGAATCTGATACAATGGAATCAAACCTTCTGGGCTGCATAATCACTACAAGTATACGATAGCTGTTCTTCAGCATCTGCTGTCTCTTCGAAACACATCATGCAGCTGATTGCTTGTCTGCCTTGTACATATTCTCTACTATTTTTTGGAACAAATCACTATTATTTTTCCCACGTATTAGATTTAAATTATCCCCCTGGCCTCTCTTAGTCTAGACCATTAGCAACAAATGAAAGAACATGAATGCAGGAGAATCTTGGAGAGAATGGATGACTTCTGTACTGGTGAGTACTGGCCTAAATGTGAGCCTGATCTTGAAACATAAAAAAGTTTTGACAGTCACTACAAATGGAAGTTAGACCAAATGTGATAACAAAAGCTCTTTCATGGCATAAAAGATCCTCTACTATAATTTAAATCTTCTTTAGGCCTTTAATTCCAGTGTTGCAAGATCTAGTTTGTATTGTTTTGTACTTTACCCATTTATATATGTAAACAATGAGCAGAGTTATTTCTGTTAGAAATTTTTTCCAGGCACTAATATTTTTCACATGGTACAAACCACTCCTTTTCCTATTGGCAGAGCTTCCGCTGATATCATTGCCAAGCGGATCAGGTTATATTCAATACAGCAAGAGATCCCTGAGTTCTGATGGTCAGCAGTGAGAAGTATTATAAAATTAGGTTTCAAAGCATAAGAAAATTCTGAATGATGCCAAGCAAACAATTCTGTTTTCCAACACCTGCTTAGGAAAATTGTCTCAAGCTAGTTGTAGCTGCTCTGGCTGGTATGTTTTATGTTCTGAAAATAAAAAGTAGGTTACTATATTTGTTGATTCTATTTTACATGAATAATAATCTAGAATATCTCTGAATTTTTATTACTTTCTCATTTGTGAAGAATTTCTTCTATTAGGACAATGGCTGATGGATTCATTAAGGGGCAAAGTCTCTCTGTAATAATCACTCATAAAGTAACATAGAGGAGCCATGAGGGACTTTGAGAACATGGCTTGGAAGAATCCTACTCATAGATAGCAGAATTGCAATCAGTCATGTAACTATTTTGCACTGCAGGTGAAAAAGGATTGCAAGTCTGACTAATCATGCTCTGAATTTGCAATTTTCCCTGACACTTTTTTAGCAAGGAAGGCTAGCAGCAGAGGTGTAGGTGGTTAGGTGTTGCCTGTGCTACCACTACGCAGCAGAGCAAGAGGGATTTTCTGTATCTGGCAACATTCTTGTGGTTTCCCGTTTGGCCCCAGATGAATCCTGTTGTAGTGTGCATAGTTCTTTGATGCTACTGTAAACACATATTTGACATGTGTTCCCTTTTATAGGAATCAGTGATTACTAATGTTTCCCTTTTATTCCTAGGATCCACAGCATATGTATTTTACTAAAAGGTGAAATTTGTTGCTAGCTTAGATTAAAAACAATTAGTTTACTGGTTGCTGTGGGAGCATTCTAATATAGGAAGTAACCCAAAATGGCATTTTAAATACTTGAAATATAAGAGTTAGTTTTTCGTTTGTCTATTGACATTTTCATGGCTTGATTCTGATGCTCCATACCTATGTAGTAGTTCTCCATCACTTGAGTCACAGGCCTGATGTTTCATTTTCTGGATGAAAACCCAATTTGTTTAAGATCAAATAAAAAAGAAATATTTTGTAACATAATTGTGACAATAGCACTGGGAGCTGCAACCCCCGGGTCTGTGCCCTGTGAGGTACT